ACACACAGATGCAGGTATCTCTTGCTGTCAAGGTTTGCCAAGTTTCTGTGCTCTGACATAAAAAAAATAGCACAAGCTTTGAAGCTGGGACAATACATATATATTAGAGCGTCTGATTTCAGAAGTGCTGCTGGATGCTCCCACCACAAAGACAAGTGGAGTCTTACATGTACTGCCTAGAGTCTAAGGCGAGGGTTCACAGAGCAAGAGTGACCAAACATCACAGTCTAACCCCACTGCCCCGCACAGACTGCAGTGAACCGAGGTGCTTCAGAGCACCCTGCACCCTCCTCACAGACCCCATCCTGCCCTGCTCTGAGGTGTACAGCTCTTGCTGCTGAAGTCACCGAGTGCTGTGTGTCATACATTAGCCAGCTAGAAACAGGCTGAATCTCCTTTTTCGTTAATGAAGGAAGGTTCTTTCTCAGAGGATAAAGTAAGGGAACTGAAGGTTAGTGGTTAACAGTTGCATCTGTCCCCAGTATTTCCGTTCTGATCAATCACTGCAAGACTTTTATCTTTTTTTGACTTCTGGCTATCTTACAGAAAACCCTAAACTTCAGTTTTGCCCATGGGAGAGTCCATTCCAGAAACGGTATGTTCTGGCACTGCCAATGTACTTGGCAGAAACAATGTGCACTTTAAGGGCTTTCCTAACTTCAGTGAATTTCAGAGTAGCAATTATCTTCAATTACTCCAGATGAAAGACCACACAAAACGTTAATTCAAATCCCCCTTCTCCCAGAAGCCCCCCACTATCCCTAATCACTACTGCCCTACTTTTTCCCTTGCCAACACCCAAAAGATTGGGCCTACTCTTCCTTGATGCTCACGTTTCCTGATGTGATTGCTCCCTTTGTCACAGCTTCTTTTCAATGTATATTATAAAAAAATCCTGTCTCACTTCAGGACATTTAAGAGTACTTGCTGCTGGTTTGGAGGGAAGCACAGCTCCCTCCACACAGACACACTTGCTGCTTCTTACCTAATTTCTCCCACTACCTCAATCAGAACAAAAGGAAAACCAGACAAAACATCTGGGCATTTGCACCAGCAGTTAGAGGTAGCGTGAGCTCCTCCATTGGATCCAGCTGTTTCTATTGCACTGTAGGACATGAAGCAGTTAGTATCACCTGAAAGCAATGTGTGTCAGAAGGGTTTTATTACTGAAGAAATTAATGGGATATGTATCAGCACTACCTTGATTTCTAGTAGCTACAAAGAGCTTATATTAAAGTTACCAGTGCTTTTAAGATGAGGATATTAAAACGCAATACTCAGCAGCAGCTACGAAACAAGGTTGAAACAACACTAAGCTACAGAGTGAGCGCTTCATAATTCAGATGCCTTTAAAGGGAACATTAGACTCAAAATGAAAACTGAGGTCAACAATACATTGGGATTGTTTAAATCACAAATGAGATAGCTTCTCAAAGCTGAAACCCGTTCTCAGGCTGAATAGCCAAGACCGTGCATGGCACCACATGGCAGTGCATGAAGAAACAAAACTAGCATGTCTCTGTGATCCATGCAAGATGCACTAGAAGAACTACTGGCGGGAGGAAACGAGAGAAGGAAGGAGACTTAAATGTGTAAACTTTTCCTGAGAAAAACACCCATCAGTGTGCCAGAAGTCCAAAGTACCAATATTCACTAGAAATGCAGAATCACTTCCTAGCAAGCTCGGTAGAAGCCTTTTGCCCCTCTTCAAGAGGAAGAACTGTGCTCTATAATACTTCATAAACTGTCAAGCTCCCATCTGTAAGCTTCAGAGATTTCACAGCTCCATTCTCTTAACGTTTTTTTTTTCCTTCCAGTTTGCTGCATAAAATCCATAGCTTTGGCTGCTCCACCCTATAGAGGGCTGAGTTTTACAGCTATTTGTCAAATAGCAGTAACAGTCTTGGTTTTGTTTTTACAATGATGACAATCCTTGCCATAAAGAACTTACATTTTAAGAGGCATGTCTCATCTGTGACTCACTCCACCTGTCTCAAGTAGGGCAACAGCTACAAGCCTGGTCACAGGAGCCTAAAACCTACCACGGGCTGCAAACTGCTCCTGCAGCAGCCTGGGCGCGTCAGACAAAGCTCCCTAGAGCCCAGGGAGCTTCAGTTCTCCTCAAGCTTGCCTCTTTTCTGGGGTGAGATGAAACAGGAAGTCCAAAGAATCAGAGCGTCAGTTCCTTTACTGTATTTGCTGAAAAGCTCCTGACGGCAGGAAGAGCATGGACAAATCTTTACAAGCCTTGAAATGGGTAATAACCCGTGCCACTAATGAAGTGGTCTAAGAGGCACCGCAGAGAGCAGCAAAGTGACAGAAACACAGGAAGGGGAGGAAAAGAAAGGGTTTTGAGACAGACTGCTGCGAGCAGAAAAAAACCACAGAGCCAGGCCTGGAGACGCATTTGGGCACAACACCAGAGCCAGAGCCAGGGAAGATGAGCAGCACAGTAAAGACATTGTGAGATCCCAAAATCAGAGAAAGGGGGCAGTGACAGTCATGGAGATGAGTAAAATGACTCTGGGCATAGAGCCCACCGCAAGAACAGTGCAGGGAAAAAAACCACCCGAACTGAGGTCCGGCAGGGCTCTCCATGTCTGAGGCACTAAGAATGAAAACCAAAGAGCTGGGGATGACTGCAAAGACCCAAACTCCTTGTTCATGCTGCCACTTGAGACTCTCCAGAATAGGAAGTGCAGGAAGCGAAGGAGAAGTTTGAGGTTTGGGTTTTCTGAGGCCAACGCCGTTTTGTTTGTTGAGCCTCGTGCTGTCGCTGCTTCCCTTTCGATGGGAATTGTGAAGAATGTGGTGGCTGTGCCCCAGCAGAGCAGGCACAGATAAACTTTTTGCTCTGTCAGAAGCTCACTGAAATACAATGCTTTGCAATTCACTTACAGTGGCCTGTTACTTGATGTTCATGAACGTACAGGACATGGAAAATGTCGCTTTTACACCAAGCTTTCCTAACACAGCTGTTACGACAGCTGTGTTATTTCACACAGCTATTGCTTTATCTTAAATAAAATACCAGGCACATTTAACCTAGTTGTCTGGGCAATGAGAGGACCAGATCAAAAAAAGGAAAAGCTGACGGGTTTTTAAATTGAAAAGCCTCAACTAAATGAGAGTGGACCTATTCCTTGCAGAAGCAGCGTGCTTTCATCACCAGAACTCTTCCCTCTCTCCAAAACAGCTGAGCCTTAACGCCTCACACTCACAGGTTACTTCTGAACATCTTACAGTTTATACACTTCACACAAACCAATTTTAAGTAATTCATGGCACTTGGGAGAATCCAGCACTATAGATAATTTAACAGAAGCTGATCAAACAAAACTGATTTTGAAAAAAGCCCAATCTAATTCTGTCAGATAGCATTCCTAGTGCAGTTGTGTGCTACTGTTAGCTATTTCAGTTCAGAATTTGATCATACTGAATTCAGGAGGTCTTTGCCAGTTTCGGTAGTACCAAAATGCTGACCTTCAGTAAGTTATCAAATGCCACATGGTACAGGCATTCACACCAGAAGTTATTTCAACTCAGAATGTCTAGAGTAAAAATCTTATGCTGCTAAAAACTGTGGAAAAAGTTACTGACTCCTTATGAATGGCTAACCACAATACTGGCAATACATAAACTAGTTCCAGGTCTGTAAGCTGGGAATGTGGAGAGCTACTGTTAGTCCAGAAAGTCTTTATGCACAAAAGATATGAATGAATTACTGCAGCTGGAAACCTCCTTCCCCTTCCTCAGAGGCTTTCCTGTCACTGAACTGTGAATTGAAATGAAGCAACAGTTTTTAGGGGCAGAAATTCAGTGTCAAAAGTTTAACACAAGTCTTTGCCAGTGAAAGAGCAGGTCAGCAGCAGTATCTGTTGTCATCTGTGACCACAGCTACTCTGTCATCCTCCTCTTTACCACATCTCATAAAACGACAAAGCCATAGTTGCATATGAGTCATAAATGTTTGTGTAAAAAGACAAACTGTTCACCCTCTCTTGTGCTCTCAACTTCTCCCTTATTTCTATGAGAGGCTCACCAGCATTTTCCCTGGTACTAGAGGAGAAACTGCAGCTCAAGCCCAGCAGGTGTTTTCAATCAGACAGTCTGTAAACACCCAGGACTCACTTCAAAGAGCCCAGCACACCCGGGCAGGAGAAGCCCCCCTCGCCCCTGGGAGGAGCCACCAGCCCTCAGCATCCAGCAGGAACAACAGCATGAAACTGTCACGAGCAGGCTGGGGAGTCTCCCCTTTTTTTCCCCAAGAGGCCGAATTCGCAGCCACATCAGTGTGGGCAGACCCCGAGTTTCAGTGCAAGAGTGGCGGCTTGTCTCTGCTGACGTCAAGGACCTGCTCAGTGGGCGTCTGCAGGATGGGGCTGCCAGCAAGCCTCCTGAACAGCAGCGGACTTGGGCTGCGGGCAGGCTGGAAGGCAGCTCAGCTCATGGGGTGGCAGTGTCAGCCACCATGAGACATCTCTGCCATGGCTATAGTTTGGGAAAAAACTGTCACTGTCAGGGCAAACATCTGTCAGCCTTGCATATTTCAACTGCAGCAAGAAACACGGTAATTGTATCATCTATTTTCCACGCTGACACCATGACATACCCAGCTAAAGAAGATAAAAGAGGCTTGGACAGTCAAGACTGCAGGGACCCGTGGCCATTTCGATTTAAGTTTATTCTCTTTCTAAATAAAAATAACTGTTATGAACGATGAATGTTCCTCCCCTCACCCCAATGTGCCTAATGTCAGGCTCCATTTCCCTCCTTACTGTTGCACTTCCGTATTTGCATAGGTCTCTCCCAGGGTGACACTTGCAGGAAACAAAGAGTGTAGAAACTGTACAGTTGGATGGTGAAGTTGCAAAGGGAGGTGAGCTCTGGAGGAACTGCTGCACAGCCGTACAACAGCAATCCCCTGCTGCCAGCCTCTCCCACCCTCTCCTATACCTCCCCCAAAACACACACCTCATTCTCTGCGCCCTCGTCCTTACCTCATAGGACCATACACACTGCACTCCTGCAAACCTCCGTACACATCTTCCCACTTCCACGTCCTCGTGGGTGGTGTACATCTCTCGCAGGCACTCGCCAATGTGGGGCACCATTCTCCGCAGGACTTCCCGGCTCATGATCACTCCAGGTCCCCCCATGCAGAAGTTCTCGCCTGGTTCCAGCGCCAGCTTCCCCATCTCCTCCGTGGTGCCGAGGCCAGTCTGCCCAAGAAAGAGGGGCTCGCTGCTGTTCAAACTCCTGAGGAAGTTCTCCAGTTTGTCCCCTTTGATGTAAACGTCGTCATCAGCTCTCATAAACCATTCGTATTTGTCCAAGTAGTGGTCATGCATGTATTTGAGCATCATGAAAGATTTCTTCTGGGGTGGGTAAGAGTCATCTACACCTGGAAGCGGCACGATGGGGATGGGAATAGAGGTGTCTGAACCCTCGCTGGAGAAGAATTCAACCTTGCCAGGAATGGTTTTGGACCATGTTCTAGATTGAAAAAGACAATAAGGACTAATTAAGTATGCAAACCAAGGCAGGCAGAGAGTGCTACCAGAGACCACTCAAAGGAACTACACCTCATCTGTTTTACAAATTTTGTTTTTAAATGCCTTGAAGGGTTATTTTTTTCCATGCAAACGAGGACATTCACATGGCACACAGAGCAATTGGTGTAACACACAAAAAATTCTGACATGACAAGCATCTGAATATCATTTTTGCAGCTGTATCTGATAGAAAAATAATTCAATAGTGGTAGTTCACTAGTGGCAGGCAGGCTTTCTTAAGCAGACTTAGTATTGGTCTAACAGCTACTGGTGACAAGATACAGAGTGAAGCCAAAGGGAGCCAAGATGGGCAAACAATTCACATACAACTGGATTTAATGCCTCCAAAGCTTCCCTGCAAGTTATTCAGCATCACATACACCTCCCAATCCCCCTAAGCCCCACCAAAAGCTCAAATGTGCATTCAGAAGTACTGACTTCCAAAGAGTAAATAGATGGAAATTTCACATGAACTTGTGAGGAATCAGTATCAGTTGGTGGGAAACCAACCAAAGAGCAACTCCTCTAGATGCTATGTGGAGAAGCAGGTAGGGCTTTGACAGAGGTAAAACGCTCCTGCACCTTTGCGACAGCCAGAGAAGCACAAAGCACGGTAGCAACACTAACCTCAAATGGGTCTGCCCATACCAGCAAAGGTCTAGTAGAAAAGCAGTCCTAAGAGATGCATGCAAAACATGTAATCCCAACAGATGACCTGCTGCTACCAGCACCAGCACCTCCAGCAGCTTTCCACACACTTCAGACCAGATTTTAGTAGAGGGGAACATCACGAAAGAGGAGCTTTTTCTGTGTGAAGCAGCACAGCAACGATATCTGCTCTACACCTTCCATGCTCCTCTCTGCTAAATCCAACCCATCTGCGTGGGCAAACTGTGTCACTTATATTGCAGGAAGAGATGTAGGATGATTCCTCGAGGCAGACTGCAGAACACTTAACCTCCTCCAGGGAGGACTTTCAATCATGTAACTGTTACAGCCTTGCCCTAAAAATTATGAATTTTAGTCTTTCAGTACCATTTTCTCAAATTCTCGCTGGGAAAAAGCATTGTTCACGTATCCTTCAGAGAAACTCACAGAAAACTATTTTCATTGGTAAACCCAATAGGTTTTGCCCCTTTTTGTATAGGGGGAGAATATTTTCTAATTATGTTTGGCGACCATGCTCAGAATATAACTTATATTCAAAGCTGAATGTGAAAACTCTCTCAAGGTAAAGGACACAGTATTGCTTCAATGCATCACGGTCACTTTTACCAGATGCCCCTCAATATAGGTTTCTTGCCAAAAGCAGAACGGATTTTGGGCAGTACAGACCATCTGAAATTTGAAGTCTCCAGAATTAGCTACCATATAAAGTCTGAAATGTAAAAATATTTCAGAAGAATTATTCCTTAAGTTCTACCGGGAAATGTAAAGGTATTTAGTTAGTATTAACTAAACATCAACTTCAACACCTTAACGGTTATGCACTAATTCAGCTTTCTGTAATGAATATCGCCCAATTACTTTAAAAGCTTTGTCTTCTGGATTTCTTACTGCCATGGGTAGTGTTTCATAGGAAAAGTTTAGATCCCAGCTTCCCAAAAGACCACAGGGTAAAGCCAATGGAAACATTCCCGCTGACTTCACAACAGAGGTGATGAGGCCTTTAATCGTCAGTGATGCAATTAATGCACAGCACTACCGGTTATAAAGTCACATCCTGTTAAAGCGTTGAAAACTGCCCATTTTAACGCGAGACATGTTCGTATCTTGAACTTCCGCTAACTATTAAGTTCCACTGTTTATTTTCTGATACCCACACTCCACATACAAATTGTCTGGTCTTGAATGAAAAGACTACATGGTAAATTGCTCTTCCCATATCAACTCCCAATCTAAGTTTAAAAGACTTCTTCATTAAAGCTACTTGATGAATTCAAATTTTAATCTCATAGAAAGAAAAGGCATAAGAAGCTACTGAGAAATGCAGTTCATCTCATCCACTGTGACCAGCTCCCAGTGCAGCTTCAGGTGGACCCAGGACACTTTCCAGACAATCACCAGGTGAAGTTATAAGCTAAAGTCTTACAGAAATTTCTGCTTATTGACTTCTTTTACTCAAAAACAAACAATGAATTTTCAGACTTGCTCTCAGTATCCTGAAAGATCTGCCTTTGTAATGATTACGACCTATGGATAACGCAGGATGTCTTCTATCACTCCAAGCTTTTGCTCTTTCTGGACTCTTCAGGAGCAGTCTTCAACTCTTCCCCCCCCCCTTTTTTTTTTTCCTCTCTCCTTTCTTTTCTTTTTTTTTCCCCCCACCTCTACTCCTTTTGTTGGTTCCCAGTGTAAATCTACTCCCTGCTCTCCAACCAGGTTCCCTCACCTCAGGACACCCTTAAGTATTGTCAAGATAGAGTTCCCATTCAATGAAGGTGGAATAGAATGCACGTACATCCACAAACCCTGGCAGGTTTGATTTCCAGCCCTCAATACGGCATTAAACCCCCCAGCTCAAAGCCAATCTGGCCCCATCTTTTCTTGGATGTGGGCCATATTTAAGTTTCATACTAAAACAGGAGCAAACCAGAGAAATATCCCTGCATACGTGGGACGTGCAACGTCACTTCAGCCTTGGGATCTCACTCCAGCCGTGCCCCAGCACGGCTTGATTAAGTCTTTGTTCACTTCCTGTGACAATGCAATTTCTAGGATGAGACGACTCGCCGTGTCATTTGTGACTGTGGCTTTGAGCGTTTGTTCAAACTCAGACAGACAAAACACGCTCCCACATCGAAAAATTGCCTGAGCATCTGTGTCAACGCAAGCACTGCTCGGCAGAGGCTGAAACAATGGGAGTCACCATGTGCTGCTCCTTATAGCTAAGCCACAGCTCACTGCTCCACGTGGCCCCTTCTTGGGAAGAGAATACAGAACAGTTTGCTCAGGAAACATGTTGTTGCACCCAGCCAAAGAAGCCAAACCACAGACTGTAAGATGAACTGTAAGTACATTTTTCTGACCCCAGCTATCAGCAGAACCAAGGACTGGTAAATGCAGGGATGAATTCTGATCAAAACTACTTTTAACTTTTTTATCTTAACATTGCAAAGAATCAGACCTGGCTCAAACACAAGTGATTCTGCAAATTAGTGTGGTAACAGCTACATTTCTTTTCCATCCTCCCATCTCCAGTCCAGTTTACAGTGTCTGCTCTCAGGTTATAGGCAGCAACCTGACCCCTCCAGCACCTTAGGCACAGAGCTCGTCTCAACACCTTTCTAACTCCCGTGGCCCCAACAGCACCCACTCCCACTGGCTGATATTGCTTTCCTAGTCAAGGCTTCTCTAACACAAGATTCGCAGATTGTATCTGCAAATTAATTGTATGTTTGATAATAAAAAAAAAAAAGGAAAATATTTTTAGCAAAACCTGACACCTTCCTTCCCCCCATGAGGGCTCCCCATCACCCCCAGCTGTTTAAAAGAAACGCAGTCCCAACATTTCTGCCACCAGACTTCTGTATCTATGCCTGCAGAGACCACCTCCCTTGCGGTGATCGCTGGTGGCCTTAAGGCTGTCTTGACTCTGTCCAGAGAGAAATATCAGGTTCTGAGTGCAATCGATACAGGTACTGAACTGGTCATTTAAAAACCCAGCAACTGAACTGCTCTGACAGATCCCAACTTTATCTCTTCTGTGTAATCTGAATCTGCTCGGCTAAACAGGAGAATGTGCATGAATCAGGACAGCAAGGCTCTCTATTACCTCCCCCAGGAGCAGCGCTGAAAACATGCACGACAGTGTGCGACCTGGTTTCTCTCAGTGCACAGGGCACATAACTCCAACAAACTAGAAGCGAGCATTGACAAGGGAATCAAAGTGCAATTTAAACAAACATAGAAAAATTAGATAACACTTCCTTAGAAGAAACCTCTTAGCAGAGGACATTAGGACTGCTCCAGTACTGGTGGCTACCAAGTCAATTTTACCATCCCTTAAGTGGTTTTGTGCACTGGATGTCCTATGTGTACCCTAATCTGAACAAGTCACAAGCAAACTGGGTGCAAAGATTTTGTCACAGCTGATACAGGTATTCATGCAATACAGAAAACTGCGTGCACAAAGAGAGTGCTAAAAAAAAACAGTACCTGCTAAAAAGTGACCACTACTATAGTTACCAAGTGTTGTCATAAGTAATTTCTTCATTTAAAAAGAAGTCTCAAAAGCACAGCTTGGATCAGTAGGAGCACAGATCTGGAATGTCTTATCTTCAGTTTCCAGTGTTTATTATTTATTTGTATTACCTTGCTTTGTTATCAGCTCTGCAGACTCAGCAGAAGCATAGTAAGAGGCATTATGCAGACAGTGGTCCCTTTGTAGAGACCCAAACTGGAGACAATTACAAAAACATGTATTTGTTTTTTGTCTGCAGTTTTAGAACCTCCCTTAGAGGAGATCAGAGAAACCATTTAAAGTTTTGAGAAACAGTCATCTTGTATAATTATGCTGAAGAAAATCATAATTTGTGAAGAACTCATCAAGATAACGGACCTAAAAGACTGATTTCTTGAATACATGGTTCAGCTAAATTTCATGTTGAATTAGGGCTAGTTTTGCGTAAGCCTTCTTCAAGGTCCCACCTTTCCAGCAACACTTGCTCCAGGGGAAGCAATGAACTACAGCTGAGCCAGGAGAACCGAGCACAGAAACCAGCACGCTGCTCCTGCATGTGGTACTGCAGATGACCATCAAGAGAGGTCAGAAAAACAAGCTGTTTTTTTAAATTTCCAGATACATTTAAAAGGGCTTGTCAGTTAAGATCCGCATTACAGAGTTCAGATTTTGAGGGAGAGTTCCTTTCAAATTTTTGCAGGATATCTTGGTATCTAGCTTTAACGGAGAACCCAAGCAGCTTCTGCAGCTCCTTAGAG